TCATCAAAATGTCATTCAACTTTTTTGCTAAAAAAAATTGTCAATCACCATGGCCGAAGCTTAAGTCGAATACTTTCCTAGTGACAAGTGAAGTAAAGAAGAGGAATTGTTTCATTAATAGAGGATGAGAGGGGTAAGAGTGGTTATGTTATCCTACCCTTGATGGTTCCAACGATGACTACCATGAGATCTTTGGAGAGGGTGAGATGCTGGTGCGTTTGGTGTTATCCTCTCAGAAGACACAATCAGCACTATTATGGCTATGGACGAGTTGGTACTTAGCATGATGGCAGTCACAGTAGCAGTTGGAGAGCAAAATGGCAATGCGCATGGAAACTACAAAGCAAAATGGTTGCCATTGAAAATCTAGATCTGAATGCATACAATGCTACTCATGGAGTTAGGAGGAGTAGAAGCTATCAACAAGTCTTATCATCTGATCACTTATGCGAGTTGAAGTGGGGAAAGAGAGCATTCATGGGTTGGAGAGAGATGCAAAAGGAAGAGAGAAGAGATGGGAAAAAGTAAAAAATAGAAAGAGAGAATTCAGTAAGTGATGTGAGGAGAGAGAATAAAAAAAAGAAAGAACAAAAAATAAAAGGAAGAAAAATTTCACATGGTATTTAAATAAAAATTAAATATTATTTTTATTATTAAAATATAAACATTTTATGCATTTTAATTAAATTAAATTTATTTTTAACTATTATTGGTCTGACTCTGAGTTGACCTCAGCCTAACTTGCTAACCCTTGACCCACTGTCTCAACCAGTTCAATAACCGGTTAAATTTTCAGTACCTTGGGAAATGCCTACAATGTTGTCAAATTATAGCTCAAACAAACAATAAACAACATTTGAAAGAAATTTAAAAGGAAATATCACATTCTTAACCAATATATATATATATATATATATATATATTCAAATACCTTGGCTAAAACAATCTATTCCATAGCTTTCAAAAACTCAATGTGAAGATTAACTCTATATCCTATTCTAACCAAAATTTTCTCCTAGGTATTTTGACAAACACCTTTTGTGCGCAATATATTTAACTACCAACATCCACATGCACTTTAACCTATATATTACATGATAATCATGATTAAAGAAGACATGTTGGTTTCTATTTAAGTTATTATTTCCCTACTATGAGAGAATAATTATCCAACTCACCAATTTATTCAATCTAACCTTTATTCTTAGCTTAAATACATAGCTCATACACAGTCATTTCATCAAACACCTAAAGTGCAAAAATTAATCTCAAAAATTAATCTTTCATCATAATTCATTGCTACTAATTCTAACAAGTTAGATAGTAACAAATAAACCAGCAGCTACACCATTCAATCTCAAATTCATAGCTTATACCCATAGTATTTCATCAAACATTTAAAGTGCAACAATAACATCTCCATAATCCACTCTTAATCATAATGCATAAGTATTTTCTAAAAAATCCAGGAGCATCAAGACAAGTTATAAACCATCAACCACTATACCCAAATAGGATTACTACTCACCTATATGAAAGAGAAGTGAAGCACAAAATAGAAGATTCTTCCAAGAGCACCCACGATGATTCACGACAAGAAGGAAACAAGGGAAGAATGAGGCCCATGAGATGGAAGACCAAACCCACAAGCCATAGAACCATAAGAGCTACAGCCACAAGTGAACCAACGACGTCAGGAGAAGGAGAAGTAAACCCACGGCAAACAAGGACGGCGAGCAAGAAAGTGAAAATGAGAAAGCGAGGACAGCAAGCAAGACGGTGAAAATGAGAGAGTAAGGACGGCGAGCAAGATGCGGCAAGTTACAGATTTAAAGGAAAGAAGAAACGGATAGAGAAAATGTGAGAAGAGAAAAGGGCGAATGATGCGATTTGAAGAAGAAAAGTGAAATAAAGATGCGAAAGAAGGAAGCTGAAATTTTTGTAAATAAAAGGCCTCATACTCGTCTGTTTGGGCTAACTAGATGAGTATGGGGACTTATGCTCATTTGGTATGGAAGACTAGATGAGTATATGAGGCATATACTCATATGGTTTGTTTGGCCAGAGAAGTATAGATACTCGTCTGTTAGGTTAAACCAAACAAACATGTGACCTTTTTCTCCTATGTTTTTAAAGTTAGAAGAAAATAAGGGGTGAAAATGGACCATTTTTATAGTAGTGTCACTTCAAATACTAAGTTTGTTTTGCTCTTATATGCTTTGAAAGTTTATTTTCATGGAAAAAATATCCTGGTTGTTATCTGCCGTTAACTTTGACCTTTAAACTATGTGGTTTGATTGGTGTATGTAATGATCAAATTTAATGATGCATAATGGTTCAAGGAAAAAATGCTATGAAATACAACTTCTAAGGCATATAAGAGGGGGAAAAATTCTAAGTGCTAGGTGCTCCTTTATGAATACTTTCAGAGTATTTAAACACCTTATCCCTATTTAATTTTACTAAATATGTATATTACATATGTATTAAATACAATTACATATAATGAATATATGTATATTATATATTAAATAGAATTATATATATTTTTGCATATAAACTTGAGGCAGGCCAGAATGGGCAAAGCGACATGCTTTGCCTAATGCTCAGTCCTGCTTGACATTTGGCCTGGCCCAAAAATGCCCAACTATTTTTTAAGCTCCCTTTTTAGGGTCGGGCTGGGCATAACTTTAGCTAGCTCGGGTGGGCAATGTGGGCTTTTGGGTTTCACTTCCAATGCATGTGATTAATATGGGTATTTTAGGAAAGTTGTCATGTCCATTTATTACAAATACTTAATTTAACGAATTTTTTTAATATCCGCAAATTAGTTATCTAGCTCTTATATTAAACAGTAGAAGTTGTATAAAATATTAAGAGGAAAATTTATATTCCTTCCTAAGACTTTTAACGACAATATTTTATTAACGATGAATGTGATTTTTTTTTTTGGTTAATATATAGATCGGAGAAAGTATGTCTTATTTCCACTGGCTAATCAGATGTTCAGGCTCTGCCAACGACCAAGCTGAATCTGTGGTCTACGTTTCATTATTCGCATTCTTATGTCCGAAAAATGATGGCGACAATAATAACCAATAAGGCAAATATATGTGGCCTCCCTTAAATCATTAGCCATGAACAAGAATTGAATGAGCTATGCAAGAAACCTTGCTATTTATACTAATATATAGTATGATCTCCCTTAAATAGTTTCTCTGATCCCAAATACAAGTCATAGTTATTTATATTGCGTCACACAAATTAATAAAGTTAATTAGCTATTGAAATTATTTGTCTTGCTTCAAATCAAAATCTTTTTCAAGGCTCACCTAATATATTTGATATAATAATGTATATCATTCCAATATAGGCATTATAATTAGAACATTTAATTTGTTGGGGGCGGGGGATAATTAAGCATTTTATGATATTAGATAGGAGTTAAAGAAACCGACCTGTTTATTTGACTTTGAAGATATATATATTCCTTACTGTTCTAAATATAATGTTCATTTGAAGATTTTGGTTTAGTTTTAAATACACTCCTCTAAACCTAAATGTATGAACTATTTGGAAGTTACTTTTAGTTTTGATTATAATACTTCAATCCATTTTATTTTTAATATTTGTTATTTTTCTTTCACTAATTTATCAAACTCATAAACTAATATATATAATCTAATATTACAGAGGGATATTTTAGAGAGATCATATTATATTTATTATAATTAAGTAATTTATTTAGATGTTTTAATCTTCCTAAATTAGTTAAGTAGTTCTTATATTAAAGATTAGAGGAGTAATCCTATTCTTCTTGTCTCATATGTTAAATTTTTCTTTCCAATAATACCCAGATTTATTAGGACATTTTTGTCCCTACAATTTTAATAATTAAAGAAAAGTATATTTCTTTAAAAAAAATTAGTATTATAAATTCTCTACATGTTAATTATAAATAACTAACCCACTTTTTGCGGAATTTCATGAATTAATTATAAGACAACCTTATATTTAGGATTAGTTTTTAAGGAAATTAAAATTGCTGTGAGCTAAAATGAAAGTGGTTTTACCTTACAAATAACTAACTTACCCAACTTCAGAGTGTTTGTATTAACTTTTTCAAAGTAATTTTTATGATTTCAAGATAAGTATATGAGAAAAATTTTGTTTCAACTTACTTAAAAATATGTTTTTAAGTGGTTTTGATACTTTCCAAACAGAAACAACACAACTCAAAGGATTCAAGTGGTGACAACCCACCATCTGGCCATCTTGGGAGAAACCATATTGCTAATTAGGATTTTAGGTCAAAAAGAGCCAAGCTAGTATCTGGACCTGGCATAATATACCTATGTACTTGTCGTGTAATAATCCATCACTTTCAATAGAAAGAAATAAAGAGGGTGATAGAGATAAAATGTCCACAATCAATTGAGATTATCCCACACCTTCTTAAGTATAATGCTTAAAGTTAATTTTAAGGTTGTTTAGGGTCATCATTTTTGTCCTATAAATATTTATGAAGGAGTTGTTGAGATCGAGTTCCTTTTTTTTTTTTTTGTGAGCTTAATGTTGCATAGGGAGTGTCAGAAAAGGAGCAATATCGTACTTTCCGTTAAATATACACTAGCTTTGTAACAAAAATGGTGACTTGCTCATTTTTTTTAAGGATGAAGAGACAAATTTATTTATTATAATAAAAAAAAACACTACACACCATAATAAAATGTTGTGTGTAAAAATATACATAGACATTTTTAAAGGGGGTAAAATTACCATCTCTATTAATTCTCCCAAACTTTCATTACCTTCCATTTTTGTGGGTCCCACCTGTTGCCAACTGTCACATGCTTATATCTAAGTCAATATCAGCTCACCCTCACCTTTTCTCTCTTTCCCTCTCCTCCTAACATGTGACCCCTCCTGCTACCAATGCACCAACCAGTGGAAGAGCTCAGCTTCCATCTACTCACCGGCCTAAGTTGGGTCGACTTCACCTTCTTCAGTCCCTTCTTGTTCTCCGGTGCGGTGGGGAACCATCGTGTCAATTTTTGGCAATTTTTTCGGCGGATTTTGGGGAAGTTGTCTTGAACCGGTGTTGATAAAATGACCTATATGATTGATTTGGGTTTGAGCTTATGAGAGAGATTGAAGTCGGTAAGAATGACATGGTCAGACTGCAGAATGAGGACTGTTCCTCCTGAACTTCACTTGGGTGCTCCACAAAAATGGCTGCGATCAACGAAGCAACGCCGGCAAATCTGGTTGTTAATGGAGTGAGGATTGAGCTTTCTAAGCTTGGCTCCTCAACTACTTTGCTTGAATTCCTCCATTGTCAGATCCGCTTCAAGAGTGTTAAGCTCGGTTGTGGTGAAGGTCAGCTTTTTTGCTCCCCTATGTATTTCGAAGTTTATCAGGTTTGTGTTCATTGTTCATTGTTACACATCTCAAGCGATGATTATTCGTTAATGTGATACTAGTAATATTCATATTCCAGTCTCTCTCTGTATTCTCACTCCAGTGTGGATTCTGATTCAAGAAGTTCTAACTTTAATCTATTCGTAGTCTCCAGTCTGTACAGGAGGCACTTGCAGAAGGTCTGTCCATCCTCATTTCTCTGATGCTTCAACGGTGCATATTGGGTAATTAGGAGAGAGCGTGGAAGGATAGGAAGAGGAGAGAGCGAAGATAGAGGAAGGGTGAGGGGGAGAGAGATTGGCAAAGGTAAGAGAGAGCATAGACAAAGTGAGACCCATAAAAATGAAAAGTAATGGAAGTTGGGGAGAATTAATGGAGATAATATTTTTGTCCTGCTTTGAAATGTCCATGTGTATTTTTGTATATAATATTTTATTATGGTGTCTAGTACTTTTTTTTTTTAATATTACAATAGGTAAATTTGTTTCTTCACTTTTTTTTTAATGCTTTTGAGACGACATTGAGCCAAGTTTTTTTTTGGATAACCACAGGTCTTTCATAAATACTTTCAAAGCAAAAATAATCCTTAACTATTAATTCCATGACACTTGCATGAAACTAAATAATTATATATATATATGGTAACACACACATCAAAAATGTTTTATAAATGAATGTTACTTTTTAATTAATCAGATTAATATGTATCGCTTGATGGTTTTGTTGGGAATTAATAATATCTGACTCCGAAGGACATTAATCCATGACATATACTCCGAAAAGCAACAAATTTATGTTTGGTAGTTTCATTTTGCCGCATAAAATTAAAAGGTAAGATGAAGTATAAATTGCATACAGATTTTTTTTTTTTTTTTATGAAAGAGACATAATACTCTCCTAATTAGGCTGTAGTTTTAGATTGCATCCACCTGCACATTCGTTATTTGAATATAAAAGTAGTTCTTTAACAAAATACAAAATATTAATACGTCCCCACTAATTCAAGGTCCTTGTTCTGCCGTTGACCAAGTATGACCTCTTTTTTCGATTTTATGCGCATTCTGATCTCCAAAATAATGGCAACAACAAGTAAGAAACCAGCAGTTGCTCCATAGCCAGCAAACCATTTTGATCCTTCTGCTCCCAAACTAAGTCCGTAGAAAGAGTTAACTAATGCAAAAATCAATGAGATCCTTCCAAGGTTATGATGGTAATAATTCCAATATTTTCTTAATAAACTTGATTCCTTTCTTGGTCGTAATACCAAAGATATAACCTGTGAAACAAGATTAACATTAAATTAATCATTAGTCACGTTCACATTAATTAATCCTAACAAGACATGCAACAAATAGTAATATTTATGTTAGTTTTAAATCTAAGATCTCAATCCAATTTATCTTTTAAATTTATAACTTTTTCTATTGATTGCGCATGTTATAAGGGGGTTTTTTCAAGAAATAATATTCATCAATGCAAATGATTTAAAATTGGCACTTTAGGAAATCAACACACGTTTTTTTTTCCAAATACTTGTAACTTAACTAATTATTTAGCTGTCATAGTAAATAAAATATTTTCCTGAAGAATAAAATATTATAGTTGATTGTCTAATATATTTGTCTCACTGAAAGAACACCCACTGTGAAACTGCTATAAACTGCCTTTCCCACTGCCTTGTATATAACCATTTTAATATTTTATAACACATCCCGTCTGCCCAAATTATATTAAAAAAAATCTTTTTAAAGGTTGTGGTGTCTTGTTGTATAATTTTTAAACCAAAATTCAACGCTAATTAACGTGTTTTTTTTATTTTTGAATGTATCCTAAACAATGCATAAAAAATACTTGACCCACCTGATAAACTCATGAACAACTTTTTCTGTGTAGAAAGTTGAAAAGAATTAAATTATAGGGCATAGATTACTAAGGGCATAAGTGAAAAGGTAGAATCAATTTTTAGATACACCAACTAATTTTAATTAATTGTTTTTTTACTAAGTGTAATTGAGTTAGATAATTAATGAAATATTTTTGGTATGACCTAGTATCATATCTCGAGCATAAGTAAGCAGAAGTCAGAGACAAACTTGGAGGCATCCAAGGACGAGAATGAGAATTCCAATGTTTTTGTGATGAGTAAGGTAGAATCTCTGAGTTAAGACAAATCCACATATTATTCCAACGACGCCAGCAAGGAAGGCAAGTGTTTGGATAGAAGCATGCAAATAAAACCAAAGTGGGTCCCACTGCCTGCAGTATCGAGCAATTATGGATCCTATCATCATAAGCAGACTCCATCCTATCATATTTAACCATCCATGGCTTCTTCTTAGCATTGTTGAAGATACTAAGGTCACTTTACCTGTTGCAAGAAGACACAGTACTAATCAATTAAGGAATAAAATTAAGGAATTTAAAGCAGTATCGGAAATTAATGAGAAGGGAGAAAGTGAGAGAGATGATAGAGGGAGCGTGTAGAGGACAAAATTGTCAAAACGTCGAACAATTGAGCACAAAATGGGCTAAAAATATAATTGTATAGAAGGCGGATACAAAAACTCCTGTTGTCCTACTTGTAACGGAGAGAAAATACTTTTTTTTTCCTTTTAATATGAGCAAGTCACCTCATTGAATTTATTATATGAATGTATAATTTTACCCCATTTTATTATTATGTGGATTATATTATTTCCTTAAAAAGTGTGTGTATGTGTGTGTATATTATATTAAATATAGGGATAAAACTAAAAAAATTATGAAATTTCAAGACAGATCTAATGAGGTTTATGGCACGTTTGATTTATGATGCTCATAAATTTATCAATTAAGGGGAGTAAGAGGAGATGATAATAAAAAAATTAATATATAAAGTGGGGTAATGTATTGGCACATTTTCATTGGAGCACAGTACGCATTGATATGATAAGACCTCAAAATTTCCGAAACTCAATGCAAGTTAGTGATTATGACTCCTCCATCACCTCTACTTTTCCACCAAGGTCATATGCCTCATCTGATTTTCTTTGCTTCACCAAATAATTACTCCTTCACATTATAGGCATTTAAGGAATTTTAGTTTCAAATGCATAGTTTGAAATTTCACCCTAGAAAGCTCTCTGCTTTCGTGATGGCTAGTATGCACTACAAAAAAATTGACTTTCAGCGGCGACAAAAGTCGCCGCTGAAAGTACAAAAGTCGCCGCCAAAAGTTTTTTGCGGCGACAAGTCGCTGCTGAAAAGTCGTTGCCGTAGCAGCCGTGGCTGAAAACTTTCAGTGGCGACTAAAAAGGTCGCCGTTAAAAGATACTTTCAGCGGCGACTTTTAAAAGTTTCAGCAGCGACAAATGTCGCCGCCGAAAACACTTTCGGCGGCGACATTTGTCGCCGCTGAAAAGCCTTTCAGCGGCGACAAAAAAGTCGCCGCCGAAAGGGTTTCAGCGGCGACTTTTTTGTCACCGGTGAAAGGCTTTTCAGCGGCGACAAATGTCGCCGCCGAAAGTGTTTTCTGCGGCGACTTTTTGTCGCCGCTGAAAGTAATGCCTAAGAAGAATTGGCTTTACCAATGCCACGTCATCACCGCCGGTGCCACGTCATCGTCTCCGGCCGCACGTCATCGCCATCGGCGGCCACGTCATCACCGCCGACCGCCACATCATCACTAGCCACCTCCACGTCATTGCCACGTCACTCCTCCTCGCCACGTCATCGTCTAAATATTTTCATCTTAAATGTGTCTTCTTCCAGGTTCGCACTCGTGACCGCCTCCCTTCGTGTCCAACCTTCTTGCCGCTGAGCCAGATTGAATTTGTTTATTAATATTGTAAAATAAAATATATATTATTATATTATACTTTCAGCGGCAACAAAAAAAGTCGCCGCTGAAGGTCCACTTTCGGCGGCGACAAAAAAAGTCGCCGCTGAAGGTCCATTTTCAGCAATTTGTTTATTAATATTGTAAAATAAAATATATATTATTATATTATACTTTCAGCGGCGACAAAAAAAGTCGCCGCTGAAGGTCCATTTCGGCAATTTGTTTATTAATATTGTAAAATAAAATATATATTATTATATTATACTTTCAGCGGCGACAAAAAAAGTCGCTGCTGAAAGTCCACTTTCGGCGGCGACAAAAAAAGTCGCCGCTGAAGGTCCACTTTCGGCGGCGACACTTTTGTCGCCGCTGAAGGTCCACTTTCGGTGGCGACAAAAAAGTCGCCGCTGAAGGTCCATTTTCGGCAATTTGTTTATTAATATTGTAAAATAAAATATATATATTATATTATACTTTCGGCGGCGACAAAAAAAGTCGCCGCTGAAGGTCCATTTTTGGCAATTTGTTTATTAATATTGTAAAATAAAATATATATTATTATATTATACTTTCAGCGGCGACAAAAAAAGTCGCCGCTGAAGGTCCACTTTCAGCGGCGACACTTTTGTCGCCGCTGAAGGTCCACTTTCGGCGGCAACAAAAAAGTCGCCGCTGAAGGTCCATTTTCGGCAATTTGTTTATTAATATTGTAAAATAAAATATATATTATTATATTATACTTTCAGCGGCGACAAAAAAAGTCGCCGCTGAAGGTCCATTTTCGGCAATTTGTTTATTAATA